TGAACTTATAAAAAAAGCAAGTTAAGCACACTTATGATCATTAGCTCATGCAGGAATTAAAGCACCTGAATATATACTTAAGCAAAGAACATTTTGTAGAAACACTTTTACATATATTATGAGATTATATTGTTGTAAGCCATAATTATGTCACCAGGGCAAAGAGCAAGTCTTTCTGACTGCTATACAATTATGAAACAAAATCTTTCACCTACTGAGAAAAGATAATTTATCAGATGTCTGATGCAATGTTATACTTTTTCAATAAAGTGAAGGTAAATTGCAAAAAAAAAAAAAAAAACAAAAACACAATATTGCACTCATTGGACCAGGAAAAAATATCAGCCCTTTGCATTTGCCATTTTCTTCCCCCTATAGCCTATTGCAAAAGGAAACTTAAGTAACAAAAAGCCTTTTGCTAGCTCCACAGCGAGTACAACCTAGATATACACCTTTTTCAAGGCAGAATGCCATCATAAATTCTGTTTCTGTAAATGGTAACACAGTTACTATTTATCAGCTCTAACACCCTGTAGCTGCAGCTATTCTTTCTGTTAAGAAATTAAGGATTGAATTCATACCTCCAGTATCAGAGAGCTTGCCTCTGTAAATTTTGTCCTCTACCACATCTGTCCAGTACAGTAAGCTCCGACTGAAATGAAAATCAAGTGCTATTGTATTTCTTAAACCAGGAACCAAGAGGCTGTAGTCACGTTTGTGAAGATCAATTTTTCTGATCTCATGTCGAATAGAAAAAATTATGAAAGCCTCAAATGGATCTGGAAACAGAAGATTAGACATTTCAAAAGCATAATAAAGATTATATTGTTACATATTGATATAAATGACAAGTGGAATAAGAACAACAGTATACTTTATCAGGAGGAACATGAATAAAACAATTCATTTTCTGATTAGGAGTCTTTCAAATATATTTTTAGTCCCACAGACTTCTCACTTCTTCCTTCTAGCATTATCTTTAATCACTAGTAGAGATATTAAACTTTAAATTTGGGAATATCAAACTCAACTATTGAACGATGTTTTACAGCTCTACCACAAGGAGTCCATAATTAGAGCTTTAAAAAGTTTCATGCTATTAAAATTAAAATCTGTTTTAAGATTGGATTTTGTAAATTGTGGAATCAACTCAGCCTATCCACTTTAATAAAGTTTTTCACACCAATCCTTCCCCCCCCAGTTCTTTCTCCAACAGTGAAACACAAATGATACTGGGGGTTTTGTTTTCCGTACAATTAAACCTCCGTTTCATATAAAAACCAGGTTATATGCAGTAGGCAATATTTCATTGTTCTTCTAAAATATTCAAAGAAAAAAGTTGCATAGATTATCCAAAATAGAAAGACACTTATATACCTCTTTGTTAAAAGATTAATTTAATTTTCTTGTCTCGATAACCACTGCACATATGAATTAAATTATCTCTGATGTTTTAAGTTAAGCAGGTACCTCAGCAGAGCTACGTTTCTGCTCTTGAAGTACTTGTTCATAATCTGGTTTGGACTTTCCAAATGATCCTCCTATTTGTTAAAGCAATGAATGACTTTCTGCAAAGCCAATTTTTCAAAGCTCTGTAGTAGTTAAATAGTTTAATGAAGAACAAGATCACCGACATTAGTAGCTATTTCACATATACTAGTTATCTGAACCAGAGAAACACTTGAATGGCGCTTCCCAATTTCTGATAAATTGGCAGGTATTACTCAGGAGACCACAGGCTACTGACATACTGCTTTTTAGGCAACTCCAATGCATAAGAACACACATGATGGACATCACCAGCAGCTTTTATGTTTCCCAGTTACTAACACAAAAATGGAGAAAAAGAAATCTAATAAACATGTTGGACAGGCCTTTTTCATTTAAAGTAGAAAAAGCCTAGCTTTTCTAACCTATGGTTAGAAAGAATGTAAATAAAAAATGAGAAATGGGTAAGAAAATATGTGTAGGCAAAGTACCACCATTTTGTTTATTTGTATTTTTTGTTTTAAATGAGCAGGTCATATGCTGCCTTTTTTTCTCCTCTTTCTTACCCTTCCCGTAACAATACAAAGAATTAAATTCAGATCCTTGTTATTGTGGTTGATACACAGTCAAGTCACAGATGTGATACTACATAAAACAAAAGAATGACTGTTATTGCGAGAAACAAGAGACACTGCATCACAGTGCAAAATTTCCCTGGAAACAATTCAGAATGCAGACAGAAACCAGTCTTGCATGGGTTCCTCTATGATAAGGCTATTTAAATACAGCCAAATAGATAGCAGCAATTATTGCCTGGCTAGTGAGTCGTGAGTCCAGTCACCACTCTGCTTTACATTATGTAGCAATCAATCACCATAAACTGGATGACTGGGGTCTAGAATTTTACTTATTACTGCCAGATCCCCCCCTACTATTCAAAGTGTAGTAAGTACTGTGTTTCAAGGATAAGCAGCTGCATAAAAACGAGTATATAACCAAAGGGATTTGTAGGAAAGAATATAGAAAATTAGATCAGCAATGGCATGGCACTGTAAATAAGGTCAACTCAAGGTTTGCACTTGAAATAAATATGACATAACGCTTCCACTCCCTCCCTCTAAGCTTTAGTGAAGGCAGACTACAATACTGTACCCTGTTCTGAGCACGGCTGATAAAGAAGAATGTGAATCAACTACAGGAATGCAAGAGGAAGTCAGCAAGTGTTGTAAGAGGTCAAGAAAGCACAGTCTTCAAGGAAAGAATGAACAATCTGGAACTGCTTAGTCTAAAAAACAATGGAGTAAGACGATGAGTGGAAGCACATAAAATTCTCCACAGACATAAAAGGCTGATGAATTTAAAAAAAATGTGAAAAATCTTGTTTTCTATATAAATAACAAGTAAGCCAAGGATTAAAGGCTTAAACTGGATCAGGAAGACTCAGAAAGACTAGGAAAACAAAAAAAAAAACTCTTGAGGAGAGTGAGGCACTGAAACATCTCACCCCTGCCAAGTTTGGAGTTCACCACTGAAGGTGTCTTGAAGGTCTTTAAAAGATAAACAATAGCAGAATTAGTCTTTGATCTTCCTTCCAACCTTATCATTCCATGACTCTATAAAATGAGCTATATTATAGTGAATTTGAATTTTCAGACTGAATCAAATCAATTTTATTTAAGGTTATGCTTCCATTACCCAATAAAATAAAAATTTGACGTTATTTTCCCACTTGATTCCTTTTCTGGAAATTGAGAGCAAATACTAATTGATTAAGAGTATTATCATAAAATCTCACCTTAATTCAATCTAATAGTTATTGATTCCATTCTTTAAAGTTTTTTTAAAGAAAAGTAATTATTAACAATTTATAAGAGAAAAATCATACATTTCTGTACCGTCTGATTTCATGACTGCATCAAGTTTTTTTACCATACAAGTGTATAAAATATATGATATAAACATAAAGCATGAACTACATTAACAGCTGTATGAAAAAATTCTGACAGAAGAAAACTGCCTAAACAACACGCTCAAAAAAAAAACCCAAAACTGTATAGAAAGAATAATGCTTCACCTCTTCCCATGGTTTTAATTTAAAATTCTTTCTTAGGAAAAATGCTAACTGAAGCTTATTGTTTCATTAAAGCTTACTCTAACAAGAGCAGCACAGGAAGCAACCTACACTGTGCTTTTGTAAAATTTATCTCAAAGGGAAATGATAACTTCATGAAGAGTCTGAAAAAAAAAAAAACTTCATTAAAAGTTTGGCATTCCT